GATGACACGTTCGCGAACGCGGTGCAGCGCCCCGGCGAGGCGTCCCCGCAGGACCCGCACTGGTGATACCCGACACTGCAGTTGGGATAGCCTGAAACCACATGAAAAATACTGAATTACTATATTACTTTATTTAATTTAATAAATAACCTAGCAGAATTATCCTAAGAGTTGCAATGCGAACAAAACGATCTGTACCCGAAATAAAACTATGTAGATAGTCACCGCCGCAGAATAAGAGTTAACTACTAAGTTCTTGGTTTCTTCTTCAAGAGGCTGCACACACAGAGAAATTCGAGGCCAAGTATACGATAGGCTTTGGGGCACAAGAAAATGAGATGAGAAAAGGCAACATTGAGAGTTTTTAGTCTCTTACGACCTTTAACACTAGATGAGACTACAATGAGCTACAGCACCATGAGTTCACGAGAATCTAAATATAACCAATAAGAAACACTGATGTGCAGGACTCAGATGCGCCGCAAAGAGTACTAATATGACGAAGTATTAAGTTACAGGATATCACAACATCAGGCACCGGATAAGACGAGAATGTACGATAGGTGTAGCGCAACTTCTCGAAATTGCCTACAGTGTAGCAGCATAACCGAATATTATTTGCATGGGCACATCAGGAGATCATTGAGCGCACTTTACCAGTCACACACACTTGTAGGCTGAGTGTATTCACGGCGCTGGGTGAGTTGACCAAGGTAGCAGTGAGTTATTTGATTGGTGCATGTCGGTCATGTTGGCCAGTCCGCGCAAAGCCTCATCCGTAGCCGATCGTATACGTTCTGCTTCCGTGTCAGAGTCATCTAAGTTTACGAAAGTTTGGTATTTGACAAATATGAAAATAGACGCAAAAACTACCTGAAAATTCGACAGAAAGAGGGTTCGAGTTGACCGGTACTGTGACCGTTTTCACTGGTTTCACTAATCCATCTGCCGAAGTTGGCCGCGAGTGACGGTGGTGGTGGTGATGATGATGAGATTTGTGTGCAGTTTGAGGTGGCTCTTCTTTAACCGGCGCAATAACCAAAGCAGGAGAGTCTCCTATCCGTATCCGTAGTCTTGGAATTTTTAGCGGCTCGGCCTATAGGAAAAATAGAGCATCAAATGAAAAAATAGAGGAAAACATTCAAAAAAATTAGCAAACTCAAGCAATTTCATGAGTTAAAGAACGAATAAAAATTTAAAAATTTGATAGATTATGTCGTTTCATACCGGTGCGTGTGCTGCAGTTTTCGAGGACGATGGTTGCTGCTCCGGAAGTTCTTTGGAAAGATGCACATCTGACTCCTCTGTTGATAGCGGAAGTTTTCCCGGAGTCGTACAACGTGAGTCGCTTCCACCTAGCCCAAACTTTACTTTCAAGCGCTTTCCATTTTTTGTTACAGCAACAAGCTCCTGAACAAAAATTATTCATAAAATTACGAATATCAAAAATTAGTGTCTTACCTGAGGCGAAGAGATAAGTTTGTCTTTTATTTTATGCTTTTTACTGCCCTTCGTATGATGCTTCATTTTGATCCGATCGTGCGCATCTTTATGCAACTTGTCCCGTTCTTTTTTCTTTTTCTTGTGCTTCCTTTGTTTTCTTTCACCATCCTTATCACTATTCTCGTTGTTCTCAATGTACGCTTTAGCTCCATCAAATTTCAATTTCAAACGAATCGGTGGAGGCTTGACGCTATTCACCACCTAAAATGCCAAAATTTGATACGTTTTCTACCGCTCCAAAATGTCAGTAAACCACATTTACCGCAGTCTTATCATTCTCCTCAATACAATTTTTTATTTCTCTACTATTCTCAGACTTTTCGACCAGGCCGGGCTCCGAGGAAGTTTCACGCTTAGGAACAGCTGGCTTGAGAGGGGAAACAGGAGTAGGCCTAGGTACCTGCAAGCACACATTTTCTCCAAAATCAGGATGCTATTAAGGATAAAGGTGGCATCAACAAGCTTGTTGAAAGCAGGGGATCGGCATGAATCCCAGTCACGTTTTGGTAGCTTAAGGTAGTAGACCCCCCAAGTATACCATAGCCCCACCCCCACCCTCCAACTCATGCCTGAGCCCTGAGAATGCCCTTCAAAACTCCACCAATGACTGCCATTCGGAAGTGGCTGGGGCTGGTGGAGTTTTGAAGCGCATTTTCGGGACTCAGCGCATGAATTGGAGGGCGGGAATGGGGCTACGGTCTGATTGAAGTCTACTACTTAGCGGTACCAAATTCTGACTGGAGTCCATTTTGCCAATCCAATGCCTTTGAAAGCTCAGTTATCCCAGATTATTTCAGTCAAACAAGAATCTTACCTGAGGTTTGAATCTGAAGCGTTCGGCCGGTCTTTCATCCTCAGTTTTTACAGCAGGTTTCACGTTTTCCTGCTTGACTACTGGTGATGCAGTTCTTTCAGGAGCATCGAGCACCTTCTGAAAAGATCAACTTGCAGCTATTCAATGAAAATCTTCTTTTCAACAAACGTACCTCCTTTTTCTGAGGCAGCGGCGGTGGTATAGGCAGGGAAGACCGCTGCGGAGTTGACTTCTGCGGCGGTGGAGGAACAGCTACACGTTTAGGTACAGGCGTCGAAGTTCCAGATATCTGTGACGATGTGGCAGGGGTGATGGAAGTCGCATTCGAAGTTGGAACGGAGACTGATGTTGGAACTTTTGGTATGGCGTTGGAAGGCGGTGGCGCTTGAGGTATCACATCATCAACGCCAAGTTCCGGTGACGCAGATCCATCAGATTCGTAATCATCCACAGAATAACGTGAAAGTAACGATGAGGCAGCTATACTTGTATGCGCTGGAGGCGATCGCATCTCTAACGGCACGCCTTGCCTAGCTCTGCTCAACAACTCCTTCTTAGCTGGCAATCTTCCAGGAGTGGTGGTGTTTTGCAAAACTTCCGGTAACCTTTGCGGACTACTCAACGGCGGCTTAGATGGTCCCGAGATTTGAGCAGGTTCCTCCTTCACAGAAACACTTGCCACAGGTTTCCTAAAAATTCTGACTCTGTAATTGTGAAATGTGAGAAAAGAGCAAAAACTACTGACACTTCAGGAGCATTTTTGGATGGAATGGATCTTCGGGGTGTTGTTGATGCTGACCGCGGTGTTGTTGATGCTGACCTAGGTGAAGGCTGAGTTTTCTTCGATGCTGCTGTTACCAAAGGACTCGACGGCGGGGCTTTGCGCGCCACCGTTGGCAGCGGAGGAGGAAGCGGGCGAACGACCTCAGTTTTGATACTCTCCGATCTCTCCGGTGGTCTGCAAAAATATTTTGAGCGTAAGCAATGTATGTTGAGAAAAATTGCGTGAAGCGAAAAATGGAGAAGTTACTTGAGAACGATGCAGCAAAAGGTAATGCGTAAAGAAGAATTTCTTCAGTGGAATTTGAATGGAGCTGATGAAGCAGCATGCAACGTGCGGCAGCATATACCCCCTGATACAATCAGATAGGCTGCTGGAGGGCGGGTCTTCCATCGATTAGAGAGCACGTAAGCATGGAAAACGCAGCTCTGCATCTCCCTCGCGTACGTGCTCTCTAATCGATGGAAACCCCGCCCTCCAGCCGCCTGTCTAGTAGAATCAAAGGTTACAAACCGTGCAAGACTCTACTACAATCAGTTACACCTCAACTGTGAGATTTTGCCAAAGATGAGACCACGTAAAGGGCATCGAGAATCAAAACGAAAAGAGCACAGATGCGAAAATTACTCACGTTGGTGCCGTTTCCGATGTTGTTCGTGATTTCGGCGTGTTTCGTGTTCTTGCTGGTTCTTGTACAAAGGCCGGAGAAGAAAGCTGAGATGATGATACAGATGTCTTGCGCCCTCTGATTCTGGGTGAGTATGTGATGCT